TACATGAAATAAGAAAACGGAAGGCTAATTGGATTGGTCATGTTTTACGCAGAAACTGCCTTCTAAAAGAAGCTATCGAAGGAAAGATAGATGGGCGGATAGAAGTGACAAGAAGACGAGGAAGAAGACGTAAGAAGATGCTGGATGACCTTGGGGACAGAAGAGGATACTGTCATTTGAAGGAGAAAGCTCTAGAACGCATTAAGTGGAGGAATTGTTTTGAAAGAGACTGTGGACCTGTCGTCTTGACAGATTACTGATGATGATGATGATGATGATGAATATCATCTGGTATACACACTAGCGTGCACGTGCGCATACGAAAAACCAACTTACCACCACACTGCCTGGAACCGTACTGGGACAGCCATGTGGTTAGATTGTACGACATGCGTATATAAGTATTACCAACATATACAACAGAAACAACATGCGTATATTAGTATTACCAACAGTAATTTCTAGAAATTAATTTTGAACAGATTAAATATCCTACAGAAGTAAAATCTGTATCATTTTAAACACTTGAGGCATTTGAAACTGAATATAAACACTTCCAAGAAATAGTATTAGATGGAGAGGCCCTAAAATAAAAGATTTTTATTGAACAAGAAGCCTTTGTGTGAGATTATGTATCACTCTGTTGGCAAAATTATTGCTAAAGTTTGTATTTAATGACTATGAAAAAACTTCAATTAATGTTTCCATTATTAGTTAAGTTGGTTGTTTTAACGAAACTGTCAGTATTGAGACTATAAGGCATCGATAAGAAAACTGATAAATGTGGAGCAGTTGGTGGAATGAGAATTGGCAGGGGAAACCAAAGAACTTTGAGGAAATCTGCCCCATTTCCATGCTATCCATCACAAATCCCACATGACCTGACCCAGGATCAAACCCAGGCTGCTGCCATGCGAATCCAGTGACTCCCCCCATAAGTTATGATCTGGAGTGCATTGATAGTGATATTTTAGTAGCACTAACAGTTGCAGACATTTGAGATTCTCATGGGGGTTTCTGTGAAGAGTGTTATCTAGGATGTGATGCTGTATTGTCTGGTAGAAGTTTACTGATATTTCAGAGGAATGTGCTGTATCTGTCTTCAGGATTGTAGAGCAAACTAGCAAACAGGAAGCAGGTTTATTATTTGTTGCTTGCTCATTCAGCATAGTAATTGGATGTGAAAACAGAGGCAACACATCCCTCCAATGCATGGCATAAGTTCCTAGAAGATAGTACTGAACTAATAATTTTTTCAAAATTATTTTTGAAAAGGGCATGCATTATAGTAACTCTGTCTTTAACGTTTTTAAAGGTGTAGTGTACTTCAGAGAGGCACAGTTGGTTGAGGCACTGTGCTACAAGCCAGAAGGTCGCGGGTTCAGGTCCCGATGAGGTCATTGGATTTTTTCAATTGACCTAATCCTTCCAGCCGCACTATGACCCTAGGGTTGACTCAGCCTCTAACAGGAATTAATTAAATAATTTCCCTGGGGAGTAAAGCATGGCTGGCGTGTAAGGCTGACAACCTTACCGCCATCTTTGAGCCGATTGTCTAGATAATGTGGGACCCTCAACATCTCTGAGCCGATTGTCTAGATAATGTGGGACCCTCAACATCTCACAACCCTATGAGCCTTCATGGCATGTTACAGGGATAGCTTTACTTTTTTTTTTCCTCGTAGCATAGTTGGTTGAGGCACTATGCTACAAGCCAAAAGGTCATGGGTTTAAGTTCCAGTGAGGTCACTGGATTTTTCAAGTGACCTAATCATTCCAGCCACACTATGGCCCTAAGGTCGACTCAGCCTCAAACAGAAATGAGCACCAGGAATCTTCCTGGGGGATAAAAGGTGACTGGCTCATAAGGCTGACAGCCTCACTGCCATCTGTTAGCTAGTTGTCTAAAAAAATGTGGGAGCCTCAACTTCTCACAACCCTGTTGGCCTCCATGGCCTGTTAAAGGGAGAGCTTTACCTTTTTACCTTTTATATTACACTTCAGAAGCTAAAGACATTTTTGAATTATTGACAGTCGCTGGTTGCTCTGAAGGACTTACTGAATAAACTTGGGTCAGAGAGTCTATGTACAGAGCATACGTTCCCACTTGATGGTTCTGGGACAGATCTGCGTTCCAGTTATATCCTCAACACAAAGATTGCAGGTACAGTTTCTTACATTATGCACAATGAATAATAGATGTTTACTACATAATATAATTACAGAAATTGATGAACTCTGTAATTCTGAATGTAATATTTAACCTTTAAACGACTAAAGACAACGTATGTCGTNGGGGTCGCACAAGTTTAGTCAGCGGTACGAATGTCCCCATATGGGGTCGCACAGTCCGCGCGTGCGGACGTTATTTGAAATACATTTTTAAGGTAGAAAATAATGTCCTACTTATATAATTTTTGGCCACCATCTGCATGGAGTATCTGTCTTCCCACCTGCGTCATCTGCCAGAATGTTGCTTTCGTGTGGAATTCTAAAAAAATCCGGAAATGCAGAGTCCGATTTCGCACTTCACGCACTTTGTCCGGACGGTCTTTCGTTTCCCATGCGAAAAGCAACCACGACACCTCAATTGCGAAGTAGAGGAAGTCGGCCAGTGATGTGGTTTGGCCTTCTATAATCGAGATATCTCCGATTAAACGGCAGGGGTTCGACTCCTGGTCGCACAGTCCGCGCGTG